CATCGGCAGGCGGACTCTCAAGCACTGCGCCACCAGGGAAGCCCGGGCTGTTTTTTAATACGTTTATTATCATTTTAAGATTTCTGCTACTAATAAAAATAATAAGAATGGGATTACTCGTAACTCGCAGCCAAGGGGAAATCTCCTGTCCCGTTTCCTGCAGGCCCTCATGGACTGTTCTTCACGTGGGGTCGCCACGGGGTTCTACTCAAAATGATGAACGGGCACTGCCTGAATTTAAATCAGAAGAATCTTCGTACAGCTGCTTCTTGGCCTCCTTTTTTCCCCTTAACTCATTGCGCCAGTCCGTTTTCATTTAGATTCAGGGAGAAGGACTTGAGCCACGGACGCATGGACATCTGTTTCTAGAAATCCCCACTGGCTGGCTGCGTGCTGGTCGTCTGTCCTGGCCTCCCCTCCGCTCTGGCGGGACTGGGATTCTCACCGAGTGGAGTGTGCTCTCCTGCTGTCTCTGCAGAATAGAAGGGAAACACCTGGTTCCCCAGGTCTTGCCTTAGTTGAGTTTTCCTGGCCACAGAGGGTCTCCCACAGAAGCCACGTTAGAAGGCTAGAAGGGCTAGAAGGACACTCATCTGTGTGCTGTGACTTTCAGTGCCCGTGTTTGAGCTTCACGTAGAGAACAGCCAAACCCTCGTTGTGCAGCTGGGCCAACACAGGGTTGGTGGCCCCAGGCTGGGTTGGGGTAGAGCCAGGACTTGAACTGGCGTCTGTCTGACACTCCAGCTCCCGCTTCACCCACGGGCCGTTCTGCGTGAGCCCAGCAGCGTCCTAAGCATGACGACCTAGTGGCTCACACATGGGTTGATCCTGCACTTTCATGGTTGTAGGGGTGACGTTTGCAGGTGCCCTGTAACTTGGGGGCGCTCGTTCCGGGGTCCTTGTGTGCAAAGCTGGGTGCAGCAGGTCCTCCCCCTTGCGCCTTTGGGTCACTGGCTGACCCCACGCAGAGCATCATGACCGAGTGCCACCTCGTCGTGAGCAGGGCCCCGGGCGGCCAGGGGCTCCCAGGCTGCAGAGCCAGAGAGCGTGGGTTCTGGTCCCACCTGGGCTTCCCCTTGACCTTGGGCAAGTTACTGATGCTCTTTCAGCATCCATTCTTTTTCTTTAGAAGGGGAATATGCTAGAAAGTTAGAGAAAATGTGCTGAGTGCACACCCCGTGATAGGTGCTCTGTGGCCACCGGCTGTCATTGACACCTGCCCCAATTACCCCGAAGCTGCATCCAACTTAGATGCTTACGCCACCGGTTGCCTGCCTTGAAGACTTGGTTTATTTACCATATTTTATGTATCATTTCTCCCCCCAGCCCTCCCCACCGGGCGCTACGTTAAGGTGAGGGTCGCTGAGATTCTTACCGGCCTGCGCGCCGGTGTTTCTTTGCCATCCCCCATCACTTCTAGCCCTGCTTCTTCCTCTTGGGCACAGTCGAGATAAGAAGGAAGCCGGGCTCGCATATGCTCTCAGCACAGCACCCCCAGATACCCCACAGATCTCTGTCCTGGCGTGTCACCCCGGTGTTCTTAAAAAAGCCGGAAGCTGCTGATGGTGGAGTGCACGCAGCCCACCAGGGCCAGAGCCGAGCCGGGTCCCTCCAGAGCGGCTCCAGGCCCGGTTGCTGCTGGGATGCAGTGGCTCCCAGGACCCCAGACGGCGTGGGTCAAGCCCTCTGCAGCTCCGTTCTTGTGGTGGTATGCCGGCAATTTCACAGTTGGGCAAACAGGGAGGCAGAGGAGGATGGAGGGGGAGGGAGGTGCTGACCTCAAGCTCTCTTGTGCTGTTGGGTGCCCTCCCAGCTCTTTGCTGTGAGCCAGGGAGTGGTGACTGCCGCAGCCAAGGCTGTAATAATAGGAGCGCTCTTCCCATCTGCATCTGAGGCCTCATTTTGTTTCCTCGGCCGTCCTGATGCGTGGAGATAAGTGCTTACCCCTCTGTGTTCTGAGGTCCTGCCGTGTCTTTATCAGCACCTTCCTGGCCCAAAGATGCTGCACTAACGGAGAGGCAGGCCCGGGACGAGTTCCTGTGCTTTCTCTTTTCGCTGAGTTGCATATTTAGGTTTCAGCGGATCTGAGAAGGTTGAGGACAGCAGGCTCCTAAATCAGATGTTCTGCTTACCGAAAACTGTTACACAGATCCCTGGAGGACGCTTCATAGATGTTGACAGAAGCTCTCTCCAGTCATAGGTGCCATCCATTCTTGAGTCTTGGAGATTTGTGAGCAGCGTTGTGTTCAGCATTCAAACTAAGGATGCCATTAACAGTGAGCCCTCGAGGCAAGATGAGTCCAGTGTGGAGAGGCCCAGAGGTTCTCTAAATGACCGTTCTCTTTGCATACAAATGTAGAGGCAATTCAGGGCCTGAAAATGTTTGATTATTCAGAGTGTTTATCGTTGGCGTTTGCTTCGCAGGAGTGTATGTAGAATTTGGGGACCCTAGAGGCATCTTTGGCCCTGATTATTCTAAGTTGTCTGTTGTGAATCCATTTATTTGTTCAGACAGAAATATAGGCCTGTTCCAAGAGCGCGAAGCTCCCTTCCGTCCTTGACTTACGGTCCATCTCTCCGTCTCTCCTTTTCTCCCCACCAGTGGTGCACACGCAGGGCCCTGTCGACGGCAGCCTTTATGCCAAGGTGGGAAAGAAGAGCGCCTCGGATCCCAGTGTCCCCGGTGGGTCCCCCGCTGTCCCGGCCGCCAGCAGCCCAGACCACAGCGACCACACCCTGTCTGTCAGCAGTGACTCGGGCCACTCCACGGCCTCGGTGAGGACCGACAGGACCGAGGAACACCTGGCTCCAGGACCCAAGAGGGGCCTGAGCCCCCAAGAAAAGGCCGAGCTGGATCAGCTGCTCAGTGGCTTTGGTCTCGAAGATTCTGGAAGCCCCCTCAAGGACATGAGTGATGCTTGCAGCAAGTACAGCGGGACCCGCCACGTCGTACCAGCCCAGGTCCACGTGAACGGAGACAGCACCCCCAAGGACCGAGAGACGGACATCCTGGACGACGAGATGCCCAGCCATGACCTGCACAGTGTGGACAGCATCGGGACCCTCTCCTCCTCCGAGGGCCGCCAGTCAGCCCACCTGGGCCCCTTTACCTGCCACCAGAGCAGCCAGAACTCCCTCCTGTCTGATGGATGCAGCGGCACCGCCGGTGAAGATCCGCACGGCGCTCTCGCCCCGGACCTGGGCCTCGCCGTGGAGCCCCCGTTCGAGCGGGAGCAGGCTTTCGGGAGCCGCGAGCCCAAGCAGCCGCAGCCTGTGCTCAGGAAGCCCTCCGTGCCCGCTCAGACGCAGGCCTACGGGCAGAGCAGCTACTCCACGCAGACCTGGGTGCGCCAGCAGCAGATGGTGGCCGCTCACCAGTACAGCTTCACCCCCGACGGGGAGGCCAGGCTCGGCGGCCGCGGCACCGCTGACGGTTCCGGCCTGGCGCAGACGCAGCCTAGGGTCCCGCTCACCCCTACCCGGGGGGCCAGCAGCAGAGTGGCCGTCCAGAGGGGCATAGGCCCTGGGCCACATCCCCCCGACACGCAGAGACCCCCTCCCGGCAAAGCAGCGCTCAAACCCAGGATTCCAGATGTCAGAGTCGTGAATGGTACTGGCCCGGAGCTGAGCACAGACCCTTCCCCTGGCTCACCCACCCTGGACATCGACCAGTCCATCGAGCAGCTCAACAGGCTCATCTTGGAGCTGGACCCCACCTTTGAGCCCATCCCCACCCACGTGAACATGCTGGGTAGCCAGGCCAACGGCCCCGCAGCCCCAGACGGTGTGGGAGGTGGGCTGCGGGCGAGTGGCCGCCTGCAGGACACGGGAGAAGGCCCTGGCAGGGCCCCTGCGAGGCAAGGTGAGCTGCTGTTCCATGGGATGCATGCTTGCCTGGGTCTGTGTTTTGCAGAATAGGGATTTATGGAAGAGCGCCGGGCTCGACGCAGGGTCCGGGGGAGGGGAATGAGGAGGATGGTTGGGGCCCTGGGCACAGCCTCGTAAGCACAGGCAGGTAACCGTGCACTCCAGGTGCCGAAGGTGTCGCCTGGCTGGCCATGCAGGGGGCGGGAAGGCTGTCCGTGGGGCAGCAGCCTGCGAGCTGGAGAGCCAGGGCCATGGGGGTGGCTGGAGGCGGGCAGTGGCAGGGATGCCAGAGGGGCAGGTTCCGGAATCCTGGCCACCAGGCCCAGCTGCGGGGTCGCGGGCCCTGAGGGCGTCCCTGTGTGCACCCTGCAGCTCTGGGGGCTGTCCTGGGTAGGAGGTGGGCACTGTGCAGGCTCTCACCCTTAGGGCACGGCTGTGCAAGGCCAGGGCCAGGCCTTCCTGCCCACCTGCGAGACCTGGGAAGGCTGGAGGTAGCTGGGGCAGACAGAGGTGGCCTCTGGGTGTACGGCTGAGTGGACGTGGGGCAGGGAGTTGGGATCCGGCCTGTGACAGGCTCTCTACGTTGGCAAAGCAGAGGCTGTGGGCCCCAGAGAGCTGGCCAGGGCAGCCTGGGAGCGTGCCCCGCAGGCCGGGGGCACTGGGACAGAGGTGGTGTGTCCGGGTCAAGGAATGGAGTGTCCGTCTAGAAGCTTCCACACAGAGGAGGCGGATGGGACCAAGGCAGACGTCCAAGCCTGCTGAGGTCTGGGGTGCTGGAGGGAGGTGTGGAGCTGCAAGGACCCAGAGGTTACCTCGGGGCTGAGAGTGAGGCCAGGCCCTCCCGCGTCGGTGTGTTGGTGTGCCTCCACCTCTGGGGCATCAGCTGGTTCCCTAAAGGCCCTGCCTCTACAAGTAAAGACAGGAGGGGTGACAGAGGAAGAGCTCTGTCGCTTCCCCCTACTCCCGAGTCTGACCCTGAGTGCCGAGCCAGGATACTGATGGGGCAGGGGTGCCGCTCTTGCCGCAGGCATTGTTCTCGGGGCCCTTTCATCTTCTTAGACCCCTCGGCTACAGGGGCGGATCCTGTCTTACAGTTGAGTTACCAGAGGTGTCAGGAAGTGGCCTGCCCAAGGTCACATGGGTCATTCGCAGTAGAGCAGGACCTGGCCCCTGTGGCTGCACCCAGAGGCCCTGCCCGTTTTGCAGTCAGATGGAGTGGATTTCAGATCCCTGCCCCGCCCCGCCCCGGGTCCAGATGGCCTGGGTTACCTGAGCTTTGCAGACCTTGGTCCTGCTTAGCTGTGCATTTGGCTGACTGTGTGGCTTTGGGTTAAGGATGTAGTCTCTGAATTTCTGTTCACTCTATCTGTTAAAAGAAACCCTATCACATACCCGGCTGGTGGAAGTGTGCAGGACGTGCTGGTCCGCACGCTCCTGTAGGGTACCTGGATCATAAGTGTGTGGCATCCCTTCTTCCCTGAGTACCTGTGCCCCTGGATGTAAGTAACTTGGAGCTGGACGGAGCTGGAAGAGCCTCCTGGGAGTAGATTATCAGACTCTACCCTGTAGCCGTAGGACAACAGTAGTAATTGTAGCAGCTAAATAGTTGGAAGGATTTGGATGTATGAATTCATAGAATCAGACACATTCAGGAGATTCTGAGTTTAAAAAAGGTTTCAAGGCTTCCCTGGCGGCGCAGCGGTTGAGAATCTGCCTGCTAATGCAGGGGACACGGGTTCGAGCCCTGGTCTGGGAAGATCTCACATCCCGCGGAGCAACTAGGCCCGTGAGCCACAACGACTGAGCCTGCGCGTCTGAAGCCTGTGCTCTGCAACAAGAGAGGCCGTGATAGTGAGAGGCCCGCGCACCACGATGAAGAATGGCCCCCGCTTGCCACAACTAGAGAGAGCCCTCTCACAGAAACGAAGACCCAACACAGCCATAAATAAATAAATTAATTTATAAACTCCTACCCCCAACATCTTCTTTAAAAAAAAGGTTTCATTGGGAACAAAGCTATCTGCATCCTGTCTCTTATCTCACCAAACCTACTTAAAAGACATTGCTTGGAAAAATTAAAACCAGAAACCTTTTTTTTGGGATTAAAACCTCCTTTGAGATTTGGAAGCAGTTGGAGGCAGCCGAGTGTATAGGGGGAAAAGGATTCCAAGGCTCAGGTTACAGTCTGACAGCCTCCTTTAGTTCATTTGTTTTCCAGTTGATGGAACTCAGTCCCTAGTGACGACTTCTCCTTTATTCTTGTAGCAATAAAACATAGAGCCTGGGATGTTAGAAAGTCTCTTCATTTCCTCCACCCTTTAGTTAGCTATTTTTAAATTACCTGATAAACTCATCTCTGTAATTATTGGAATTTTAATTTTAGATCTTTTCTAGTTCCTTGTCTTATAAAAATAATGACATTTTTAAAATTAAATGACTTGAATATTTCAACAGACCCGTAAAATTCAGCACGTTAGGTTATTAATTATGCAAATTCAGTTAGAGTGTTTATTAATCCATTCATGTTTGATAGGAACCTCGGGCATTTGCCGGTTTTCTTTTATACTTTTAAAACTATGGTGATGTCAGTAGATTAGGTATAAGCAATGTGGATGCTAATCTCCTGAGACCTTTCTGAAATTTGCACGTGAGCTTCTGGTAGGAGGCCTGAGCAGCGAGCGATGAACACCTGCCAGCAGGGCAGCTCATAGCTCACAGCACGAGGACTGGCCTTCTAACCCGGGGCTTGGCTTTCAACTCCAGAGTCAGCTCCTGTTTTAGGAAAGTGCCAAGCCGGGAAGTGTAGTGCCTTTGAGACTTGCACTACATTGATGAAAAGGATCTGGACGGTGTAAAGGGTTCTCAGAACAGCCTGCATGCAGACGTCTGGCTCTCATTCCGGGACATCTTTTATCGATAGAAATCCCATCAAAAGAACGTGCACGTCTGTAGCTTTCGGCCACTTGAATTGAGGTGGAGAGAGAACTTCCTTCCCTCCCTGGCTGGTATAGAGGACACTGGAACCCATTTGATTTTAATATTTAAATGTCAGTATTTACACCTCTCGGTTGCAAAAAGCTAGATCAGCCAGCAGCAGAAAAAAAATCACTAGATGGCAAGGAAAGTCATAAAAGTGTACCACTAACCAACTGATTCTGAGTTGTGGAACATTTCAGAAGGTTTGGGGATGCTGGAAACCTGTGCTTGGAAGATGTTCCAGATCCCCAGCACATATCCATCCCCTAGATGGGGGAGGCCAGGGCTGCCAAGCTGAGCTGGTCCACACGTGGCTCTCGGTTCTACCATGCTGAGTAGGAAGGGGATGATGGATCTGAAAGGCTCCATGACATTCCCAGGATGGTGGCTGTCATGCCACAGATGCATTGTCCCATGTCTGTGTGCCTGAGGCTCAGCCCTGTTGATGTGGGGCAGTATCTGACCAGAGTGGCCTCAAGTCTTGCACACAAATGGGAAGTAGGCCGGAAAGTTCCAAGACGCTGTATCTTCTATGTGAGACCCTCCCTGGCCTGCCTTACATCTTGCCCCCAGATGCTGACTGCTGCACAGTGTCTTAATTCTGGCTGTAAATAAAGGTTTGTCGCAGAGATCTCAGCATCCTGAAGTTAGTGAAATCCTTCACTCTTTGCAGATCACGTCCTGACTATGAGAAAGACCACCACTTATCTGGTGGTAGAGAGTTGGGAATGGTATTACCTGGAGCTCCTTCTGGGGACTGCTGCATGTCCTGCACAGCTCACATTGCACCAGCTCTGCGGGCGGCAGCTTGCCCACTGTGGCTCTGGTTATTTCTGAGACGAAAATTATATGTGAAGGCTAAGCATCTTCTGAGAAAGTCTACTTGCTATCAGCACAATAATAATACTGGTGAGGATGGTGGTGGTGGTAGGGATAATGATGGTGGTGATGGTGATGGTGGTGAGGGTGATGGTGGTCGTGGTGGTGATGATGGTGGTGGTGATGGTGATGGTGATGATGGTGATGATGGTCATGGTGATGGTGGTGATGGTGATGATGGTGGTGGTGATGGTGGTGCTGGTGATGATGATGGTGGTGATGGTGGTGAGGGTGATGGTGGTGGTGGTGATGATGATGGTGATGATGGTGATGGTGGTGATGATGGTCATGGTGATGATGGTGGTCATGGTGATGATGGTGGTGAGGATGGTGATGATGGTGATGGTGGTCATGGTGGTGATGGTGATGATGGTGGTGATGGTGATGATGGTGGTCATGGTTATGATGATGGTGGTGGTGATGATGATGATGGTGGTGATGGTGATGGTAAAGATGATAGTGACCACTGCCACACAGCTCCTGCCCCGTTCTAGGCACTATGTTGAAGCTTGTCTGCATCACGCCTGACCTTCATGCCCACCATAATGTGTAAACAGCCTCCATCTCTCTCACTACGCATCTCATGGCTGAGCCCTTATTCCACTAAACTTAGTTTTTGCCACCAGATCGAAACCCCTGGAGGGCAGTGCCAGTGACTTACTCATTTTGTTTCCTGACACGTGGAATGTTTGTAAATAGAGGGGATCTGGTGTTGGTGGAAATGCAGGTGACCCTCCAAAGACCCATGTGTCTCTGCTGAATCGGCACGGGGACCTTAGTGAGGTTTATCATGGGCAGTATAGGGAGCCAGTCCCCACCCATGAGGCGAGAGTGGCCCCTCAGAGGTGGGGTCTCAGAAAGCCCTGGGAGACCTTGTAAAATGGGGTGAGATGTGGCGGCGTTTCACTCCCTGTAGGCGCTCAGCACCTCTGCAGCTCCCCTGCTCTGGGCTGACACCAGACCGTGCTTCCGCCACAGCCCGTCTGAGCGCTGCTGTGGCCTCATGCCACCCCAACCCCCAGGTCGCCCAGCTGCACTGCAGCCCTGCTCAACGGTGGGTTTCTTGGATCACATTTTTTAAATGAGGGGAGATTTCAACTGATAGTACCCAAGCAACAGAAGAAATGACTCAATCTGTGAAGTTTATGATTCCATGGATGGCAGGAAGCCAGCTCTGTTCTCCTCATACCTATGGGCTCCTTGTTTCCTGTTGTCAAAATATTTTATTCATGGTACATCAACCCCCAATCCACAGTTGTCGGACCCTGGCAGACCCCGTGTTCTGCTTGCAGATGGCACTAGGACACTGTGCCAGGGCTCCTCATGTGCTTCTGCAGACAGACAGACATCCCTGCATGAGTGCTCCGTGGCAGAGAACTCATTTATGCTGAAGGGAATTCACAATAAGTATCAACTTTCAGTAATTGATAGTGGAAAGCCTGTCAATTTAAATTATATGTTAAAGGGGCTTCCCTGGTGGCGCAGTGGTTAAGAATCCACCTGCCAATGCAGGGCACACGGGTTTGAGCCCTGGTCCGGGAAGATCCCACATGCCGCGGAGCATCTAAGCCCGTGCGCCGCAACTACTGAGCCCTCAACGCCTAGAGCCCGTGCTCTGCTACAAGGGAAGCCACCGCAATGAGAAGCCCGCGCATCGCAACGAAGAGTAACCCCCGCTCTCCGCAACTAGAGAAAGCCCGTGCGCAGCAACATAGACCCAACGCAGCCAAAAATAAAAACAAACAAATAAATAAATTTATTTAAAAAAATATTATATGTCAAACCCAAACCAAAGGGATCCAGTGTGAGAACCTGAGATCCTCAGCCGTGGGTCCACACCGTGAGTGTAGGGTCCCTGAGCGCGGGCGGGAGCCGCAGCGGCACGAGCCCACAGGGGCACGACAGGAGAGCCAGGAGCATCGTGGAGAAGAGAGCGGGGCCTTTCCAGGAGGAAGTTCCGTGGAGGCTGTGCAGATGCTGGGGAGAGGCAGGGCCCAGGTGTGCGGAAGTGCAGGTGTGTTCGAGGACCGGGGATCCAGGTGCACGGAGAAGTGGGAAGAAGGGGTGAGCGTGGACCCCGCCCACGTCCGTCATGAGACAATACCTGCCCTCAGGATTTCCTCTGCTCCCCGAGGCCGCAGATTCTGACGGCTGGGGGAGGCATCTCAGGCTGACCCCGGCGTCACCCACGGCAGCAGGATTCAGGCTGCCATAGACCCCGGCCGGGGGCTGCGAGGCTCCTCCTCTACGTCTGAGGCTCTGGGGCAGCCCCCGTGCTTCCAGGAGAAGCCGGGCTCCACAAAACCAAGAAGTCTCCGCCAGCATCGCCCGTGCTCAAGGCACTACTGGTTCCTCTGGTCGAATGAGATGCGGGGTGACGTCCAGTCACAGAGAGGAAGCTCGAGGTCAGAAAGGGCGGGTGACTGAGGCTCAGACTTGGCCCGTGGGCTCTTCCTGCATGGCCAGCCTGTGTTAGTTCTTAGGCCTTTCCCGGAAGAGGGTCCCGGATCAGGGTCAGAACCTGCTGCAGACTGTGGTCTGGGGACGTGGTGAGCAAAGAGCAAGGGCTCAGGTCTTTTCTCTCCACCCTCAGGCCTTTCCGCATCGCCTTCCCAAGACAAGATAACTATTTTCAGGTCAGGGGGTGTCCAGGGGGCAGGCCCTGGTGTCCCTGCAGGAGCCGGCAGCAGAGCGTGTGGGACCAGCAGCTCTGTGTCCTTGGCAGGAGACGGCTTGTCCCACCCTTGGCAGCTGCAGGCGACCTCAGTAATAAGAGAGTGAAGGATGATCTCCACTGGTTTCCTCTGGGAAACACAAAGTGCGAACTCACTGCAACTACGTTTTGGTTCTCTTTCGGTGGGTTTCAAACAGTGAGGGTGGACTGGCCATAGACAAACCTTTGGATGGTGGGTGTTACGCTCACAAGTCTAATGCAATCTGAGTTTGGCTTCACTCATGTCGTCTGAAAAGCTCTAGCAAGTAGAGCTTAAGGAAATGTGTCCGTACCCCTTCAGTTGAGTCATTTTCCATTCAGTATTGTGAGATGAGAGAGTTACAGAGATCTGTTGCAGAACAATCTGGATATGCTTAACATTAAAAATGGTCAGGGTGGTAAACGTAATGCTATGTGTTTTTTAACACATTTTTAAAGCCTAGAATAATTTCTTAGTTGACCTGCTTTGTATATGCATCTTTACATCCCTTGGAGTCTCTCAAAGTCATGGACTCCTCTGTGGGTGTCTGCCTGACACCGTCTCCCAGCTGCCACTTCCGTCTCTTTCCCCTCCTTCCTTCCATGCATAGGGTCCTGGTCACACAGTTCTGGAAGGGGTTCGTGGTTAGTTTCTGGCTGCCCTCTCTGATCACAGTCCCTGAGCTTGTGGCTAATTTAACTCTAACTTCACACCTGCCCCCTCACTCACTGTCCACTGAAACCCACTATTCCTCTCAGCTGCCCAGTCAGGCCTGTACCCACTGAGCCAGGCGGTGAGCAAAGGCACGTGGGATCCCATCGGTGTCACCATGACAACTCTGGATGCTGTTCTGAACCTGAGAGCGTGTGGTTTCAGGCTGTGTTTAATGCTGACCAGTCTCAGTACAGCTGCACGATGCCTCCTGCCCTCGGGACACACAGGAGCGAGCGGGTGGGAACACGGGGCACAGTGCTTCCTTCAGGGAGCCTGAGGAGGCCTGGCCTCTCATTCAGTGGCCTCCACCTGTCAGGAGCTCTCTGGGCTGTCATAGGTCAGCCCAGGGTCACATTCTCCCTGAAATGCTTCCCTGACCACTGTCGCTTCCCCATGTGCCCAGGGCTCCCCCCATCTCCCTGGACAACACTGGCCTGTGACTGTACCTTTGCCTTTCCATCACTCCCCCACCCCACTCATGAGCTCCTGGAAAGCAGGAGGAACCAAGAATTACAGTGCGGGGGGCGGACCTCCTCCTACCCAGGCCCACCAGGGAGCCAGGATAAAGGAGACTGTGGAGCGAGGGCCAGTGAGCCCAGGCCAAGGGCTTCTGGTGACGTTCCTGTGAAGGACTCTTGCCCTCCGTTTGCTGCCACAGGTGAAACTGGGCTTTCTCCACCAGTGAGGTCCTGTCACTGGAGGTGAACTTCAGGCAGGGTATTCATGTGCCATGAGAGACCCCAAAGAAGAGGTTCCTGCCCAGGGGTCAGGACGGGCCGTGCCCCTTCAAACTGATGCTTTAGGACCATGAACAGCGGTGGATGGACCGATGCCTGCAAGCGCACATTTAGTGATGGAGTCGGCTTGTTGCGCTGCGGGGAGCTCTGCATGCTGCTAGTTTGGAAAAGACTTCAGAGTGGGAAATGCACGGTCACTGCTGGAAGCTGTTGTTGCAACTACTTTCTTTCATTGCATAAAAGCACGTTATAGGGCTTCCCTGACGGCCCAGTGGTTAAGAATCCGCCTGCCAATTCAGGGGACACGGGTTCAAGCCCTGGTCCGGGAAGATCCCACATGCCGTGGAGCAACTAAGCCCGTGCGCCGCAACTACTGAGCCTGCGCTCTAGAGCCCGCGAGCCACAACTACTGGGCCTGTGCGCCACAACTACTGAAGCCCACGTGCCTAGAGGCCATGCTCCGCGACAAGAGAAGCCTGCACACTGCAACGAAGAGCAGCCCCTGCTCGCCGCAACTAGAGAAAGCCCGTGCAGCAGCAATGAAGACCCAGTGCAGCCAAAAATAAATACAAATCAATAAATTAAAAAAAAAAAGGCACATTATAAATCTGAGAGTTGATGAATCAGTTCCTTTCGCTGCAGCGACCTTCACCACACAAACAGGCAGATCCGGGTGCCCCACGTGGTCACCTTGACGGACGTCTTCCGACGTCCCTGAGAGGCCTGGAGTTGTGGCCTCTCCTGCCTGCTCTGAACCGCCTGGGCCAGCCTGCAGCTGTGGTTCTCAACCCCTCAAGCCCATGGTCCTGTTTTTAGAACATCTGTTTTCTGATGCCATCTTCACTACCCTGAAATCAGTCAGAGCTGATGCAAACTACTTAAACACATAACTTAAAAAAACCTATGTAACACCCTAACAGTCGTGTTAAAGGATAAATAAAAAGAAAACAATTTAAAATAAAATAACGTGCATCTCAAGGTGAAAACCCTTGGGCAGGCCAGCCTAGGAAACAGAAATCACCCCCTCAGATCTTTTTTATTGGGGAAAAATGCACCTAATGTAAAATTTACCATTTTAACCATTTAAAAATGTACAATTAAGTGGCATTAAGTACCTTCACAATGTTGTACAACCATTACCACTGTCTAGCTCCAGAGCACTTTTGTTATTTCAAAAGGAAATCTGTACCCGTGGTCAGTCACCCCCATTCCACGCCATCCCAGCCCCTGGCAGCCCCTAATCTGTTTTCTGTCTCTAGGGATTTGCCTCTTCTGGACATTGCACATAAATGGAATTGTATGATATGTGGCCTTTTGAGTCGGGCCTCTCTCACTCAGCATAAGGTTTTGCAGGCTTAAGGTTGAGTGATATTCGACTGCATGGGCAGCCCACACTGTGCTTATCCAGTCATCGCTGGGCGGTGACCTTTTTGGTGATTGTGAATAGAGCTGCTGTGAACGTTCACGTGCAAGTATTCGTTTGAAGCCCTGTTTTCAGTTCTTTGGGGTAATACCCAGGAGTGGAACTGCTGGTCCATGTGGCAATTCTTTTGTTACTTTGCCGAGGAGCTGCCCCCTCAGATGTTTGAAAATCTGCTTTGGAGACCTCCGGAGGCCAGTAGTGACCTTGCCTTTTGGTTGCTGTGTGGCTTTTTACATCTGCGCTTTAAATTACAAGCTTACTTTGAGTAAAACATGAGCATATTCCTGAAATTTCTTACAGTAGAAGGGTATGCTTCGTAGCTTTTTGGACACAATCATTTCCCTTTTAAATATGTTATTCTAGAGGAAATGCTACCACCTAACCAAGCACTTTGGAATTCCCCAGTGGAAAGGGTTTTCACTTTTGCAATCCAAAAGGTAGGCTTTTTTTTTTTTTTTTTTTGGGTACGCG